GCGTCGACCTGGTTGCGTTCCTACTCCGGCGCGTCCGCCAAACTTTTAATTTTAATTGATCGTGTCGTGCTGATAAGCGAAAACCCTAGATCAACTATCCAGACCAATTTATTATTATCAAAAATCGGCGGAATGACGCCGCCTTCGATGCGAATCTACAGCAAACACGCAAGAGTCCGGCAAATACGTCTGTCAAACGAAATATCGGTTTTGTAGGTCCCCTTCCCGCATCCCCCACAAACCCCCGCCAGTCTGTTAGTCCAGTCTCCGGGCGAAACCACCATCACCCTAGCCGAATCGGCCAGTCATCGAGTTCCATGTTTTGTTTGCGAAACATCATATATTCAATATTTATTAGCGAATGTATAGCTGTACGTGTTTACTTGTGTGTGCGCATATGGTCATTGGCGTACTCGATCTGTCAGAAGCGTTGGTCTAGTATAAAGGCGTTTGAACCGTAAGGGAAGAGACTCTGCGAAAAAGATTACTGCAGAAATTAAAAACCTTATTGCGAAGAGAGATTAAACATGAATAAATACAATTTCCAAAAACACCAAAGCAGAAGAATAAAAGAGGAATACGAAATGAAATGTTAGATTGCATCAATCACTACGTATGGGCCAAAAATTCTTCGTGGTAACAAACAACTCATTTCTCTTTTCCCCGTGATTCATTGAATCGTATATAATGAAAGGTAGAGCAAAAACAGGTTAGTTTTAGGAGAACCAGACAATTTAATTTTAAAAATACCCAACACCAAGATGACACAACAAGATTTTGATCAGGCCCCCTTGTTCTTTGAGCGTGGCCAGCACAAACAAGAACTGCGGGTACGAATTTTTAGCAAAGATTGAGCACTAACTAACCAAAACATAGTAATGTTCAAATCTGTTGTGTTTAATGCTTTTCATGCTTTCAAAATATATTTATCTATCTGATCATGGCCTCACAATGTAGGTCAGAAAAAAAATACATTCGAAAAAAAAAACAATATAAAGGAATTATTATGAAATTAGGTAGGTATTAGATACTTTATACCGATACGCCGCCCTTGTCAAGGCAATAAGAAAGTGAGAAAGGAAAAACAGGAGAAACAGGAAAGGTTTTAATGAAGGGAATCAGGACACTTCATCCCAAAATATCATGACAGCAGGATCCAGACGAGTGGCTATGACATGGATCGCATATGGAGTCCTAAAATGGAGGCTCAGTGCTAGCTCTTGAATCAAAAACTCTAAAGAAGAACAAGAAAGGCTTAAAACGTAGGAGTTCAGGCATTTTATTTTTCTGATACCAAAATCTCAACGAAACTACTTAGAGACACATTGGATGATATTATTACTATGAATCATAACGGCTCGTATGGCGACTTAAACTGCAGACAATGACACTTCACCACGATGACTCCCAGCTTATCTGTCCCCTTAGTCCGTGTAAGACCCCTGAAGTGAAAATGTAAGACCGTTTAAGGCGAGACAAGTAACGAAGTTTTAAAAGCGTTTGAATAGTAGACCGCACGCCGCTGGCGGGAAGCGCGCCGGGGCTAAAATGTAATTTTCCGAAGTTTGAATAAACTAAATGCGGTTGCCGGTTATTTGAGAATTATAAACTAACATCGGGTCCGAGCCCGGCACCCCCCAGACGAGCCGCGGCTAGTTAAATTAGTTTGTTTAATACATGTTTCATACTTGCGAACGTGTAGGTTGGGGCGGGGGGCTTCAACTTTCACCGCTTTCGGTGCACCACCCGCGAGCAGTAACCTGTCTTTCCTTTTTTTTTTTGGCGAAAAAGTCATCAATTTCTTTTGGTTTGCTGGCACTGTAGGAGATGGAGAGAAAATGTTTTCTTCCTGTCTGGTGAAGGAAATAACGCTTGTTAAAATTAATTGGCATTTGTTAAATTCTTAAAAGGTATTCGACAAGGAATCCTGTGTTACCATGTTTTTTGCCCCTAGCCGACTATTGTCTAATATAATTTTCAAAAATAATTATTTTAAAGTAGGTCTTCCTCGTCAGTTATTGATGAGAAAAACCCCCGTTCAGGTCTTCCTAGCATCAAATTTGAAATTCTTCTTGAGGACGTCGGTCTTATCCTCAACAGGCCTACCCTGCTTGCAATAGACGACGACTTTCTGCATATAATGGGGGTTTTTTTTCGATATATAGAACTTTAAGTTGGCATTACTGTTCAAGATGGCGACCGATTTCACAGCTGTCAAGTGATTTATTCTCAGTTTGGTTTGGCAATTCATCATGAATAGACTCACGCCTGAACAACGCTTGCAAATAGTGCAACTTTATTTCGAAAATAATGGTATCGCGCACTACGTCCATTTTATTGTCGACAAAATGGTCCATCAGAGCAGTTAATTCGATTAACGATGGTTTTCGCACCACGTTTACTCTTATTGATAACTCGCATCCCCAGAGACGCCGTACGGTGCGTACAGAAGAAGTTATTGCTGCTGTAGAGCGTAGCATTGAGGAAGACCCGAATGAGTCCATCCGCCACCGAGCATGGGTCCAAAACGAGATTGCCGTTGTTGCCGATTTTCATAAGCGAATTTTGTTTAGCGATGAAGCGCACTTCAGGTTGAATGGCTACGTCAACAAACAAAAGTGCCGCATTTGGAGCGAAGCTAATCCTCAAGTGTATGTCGAAACACCGTTACATCCAGAAAAACTGACTGTTTGGTGCGCTTTATGGGCTGGTGGAATCATTGGTTCCGTACTTCTTCGAAAACGATGATGGCCAGAAAGTTACAGTCAATGGTGATCGGTATAGAGCTATGATTACTAACTCTTTCATTCCTGAATTGAATAATCATGATGTCCGGGAAATGTGGTTTCAACAAGACGGCGCAACATGTCACACAGCTCGTGTCACAATCGATTTGTTGAAAGATACGTTTGGTGACCGCGCTTAATTGCACGTTTTGGACCTGTGAATTGGCCTCCAAGATCTTGTGATTTAACACCGCTAGACTACTTGCTGTGGGGCTATAAAAGTCATTGGTCTATTGGTCTACAAACGCTTGACCATTTGGAAGACAACATTCGCCGTGTTATTGCCGATATACGGCCACAAATGTTGGAAAAAGCAATCTCTGGTCAATCGAATAATCCATCGTTGTTTTATTGCAACTTAAAGTTCTATACATAGAAAAAAAACACCCCTTATCTGTACTTATAAATATCTTAGTTGTCAATCAACTTTGCTGTTGAAATGTTATTATTTTACAGTAGAATACTTCATTCATTTGTTTGTTGCCAACAGAAGAATCACAATTTTGTGATATTTCGCAACTTAGTTTAATAATTGACAAATAAATGTAGTCTTCATCATCAAACCAGCAGCATTTTGAGCTTCAGCGATAAGTTGAATCCCGACTTGTTGTTTACAGACCAAAAGCTTTCAAAAGGTGTTATCTTGGAATCTCATCGGCATTTGCTGATGTATCCACTGTGGTGGTTTCGTCATCGTCACTCTCTTCGAGAGAAATGTGTTTTTATTTATTTACATTTATACCTCATTTAAGCAACTAAGATAATAAAAATAAAGAGTAAAATGATTTATCACCGAAGTAATCTCATAAAAGTCATTATCCAAATATACTTTTAAAAGCACAATATGCAATATTGAATAAGTGTTTTTTTACATCAGAATTGCCCGAAAATCTGTATCAGTTGTGGGGGAATTTTCCTACGAGTTCGATTTTTCGCAGATGACCTCCCCAAACCGCTGCCCCCACGAACCGCCGAAGTCGCCTGGTGAAAAATAAAAAAAAAACCTTCTCCCCCGATATTTTATGGCCGGGGTCAGCCCTCGAACGGCTACGGGCTCTTCCATCGACGCGGACGACTAAGAATTCCCCCAGGTGAGAGAGCCGGAAAGTGCTTCGATAAGCATCCCCGGGTCCGTCGAGGGGCGACGGCGGCGATGGCGCGGTGCTCCCCTTTTTTTGGCGGGAATTATTTATGGGCCGGGGCCAGCGACAGGGTCGAATCGCTAACCGAGCGACGGACACGCTGGACCGGCCTGTTTTTCAAAGGTCCGATTGTGGGCGAAGAGGGGACGAAGACGAGGGTTGAAACGTTGCGTGATTCGAGGTGACGCCGCGATCGGGAAATAGAGAAAGGAAATATCGATTTATAATGGACGGTCTTTTGTCGCCGCCGTCTTCAGTAAGATTATTTTAATGCGTGGAGGTTTCATTCGGTCGTCTGACTTTGTTGTTCAAGAATCCGAGGTCTCTTTAGTCGTGTAAGTGAAAAATCAGAGTTCTTACACTTGACAATCACATTCACAATCATTATGCTTTTTTGCTTAAAATAATGGACTACGCATATCCGGTAACAACGGCTGATCCTAGATCACAGCTCACTGATGCATCTCCAACAGCAATAATAATTAAACATAAATTAAATACCTAAATACGTAAATAAATATCAGCGCACGAAAAAAAAAAACTTAGAAATTTTACAAGATACAGGAGAAGTTCCAACGTTCCCATTTTCAAATTCTAGTAACTTCCAAAGATTTATACCGAAACAATATATGGTTTAAACCATAAAAGGAAAAAAATAGAATGTTTACAATATAGAAGTTCCAACTTTCGAATTTGGATAACTTGTATTATATTTATAAATTAAACTTGTCTTATTTTATGCCAGACTAAGTAGTAGAGAAACGCCCAAAGGCCAAAGAATTGCCTCACCCCAAACCACCGGCGGATATTAAATGACGCGTGTCAATTTAACTTCTCACCGAGGGGCGTTAAAGTAAGACAATGCACCGCGACAATAACACATTTCAAACGAAATTTAAATGTCCCCGGTAAACTTTTCGAAATTCATCTTCTCCGCGCGCGCGTCACACAAACAGGACGTTTTACGTTATTTACTTTAAACAGACACCCGGAAAACTTTGCCCGAACTTCGAATACCTCCGGGGGCAGGAGGAGACCGCATAGCTGTCGAGATGCGAAACGTCTGACTTACCTTGGGTCGACGAGAGGGTAGCCGAAACGAGGAAACAAAGGGTGGCCGCAAATTTTAAGCCCTCGGACATTGCGGCGGTCTCTTTTCCTTTTCAGACGGCCCCTGCGATTTTGTAGAAGTTCGGCTATAGCGTTTGTCCTGAAACGAAACGTGCTCATTATTATAAAGTGCACAGAACGAAGAAAACCAAATAACAATATTTTTCTGAGAAAAACACCATTTAAGGTCTGAACAAAACCATCATACAACTGGACGAAAAATAAGTATCCGACAAACGAAATTATTGCTTTAAATCAGAGACATCTAAAAAGCAAAAAATAGTTTTAGCCTCAAAATATAAACGGGTTTGGTTAAATAGCTGTTTCTATGTTATAGATACAAAATGTGGGGTGTTTATTGGTATTTAAGCCACTTAAGCCACCAGATGGGCTCGTTGTGCCCCCAGACCGCGCTAGAGGGCGTCCAGAATGCCGCAACTCCTTTAGCCCAATACCGTGCAGAATCCAGATCGATCATGGCTGTTCCGAAGACTCCAAATCTTGCCCATGTCAAAGCAGGGCACTCGGTGAGCAAATGATACGAGGTCTCCTCCCCTTCCATGCACCACCTGCACTCCGGGTCGTCTCCAATGTCTAGCAAGTAAAGATGCCCCCTAAGCATGGAGTGTCCTGTTTTAGCCTTTTAACAGCTTTAAACAATCAGAACACGACTATATTTCAGGAGCAAAATAATACACGTTATCGTAACTCAGAAGGTGTAAATCAGAATATCATTTTTCAAGTCTCAAAAACGTAGGACAGTAATGTTCGAACGGTATCTTTGTACCTTCGCTAATGCAGGAGCTGCTCAAAAGGAATAGTCGAAAAAGACACACTCAGTACATCAGAGATATTGATAAATCGTCTTTTTTTTAATACTCTGTGAAACTACAACGAAAAATATAATATGACCGGTTGCCTTACAGCTTACGCAACGAAAAGTGATTTTCTACCTCACGTCATCTGCCACCACAAAATGTCCACTAGAACGCGAAAAAGCAACGGCAACGGTTCGCTGATCGATCTTGGGGACCAATAAAACCGGAATTTACCCATTCCGTGATAAATCACAACGTTTCCGGCGAAGTCTTTGTCGCGGCCACATTACGATTGTCGGCCATGATTCATATTTACAGAGACCGCGGCGGGAGGCTGCGAAAGGGTTCGCAGTTGGGGAAGGGGGGGGTAGGTTATGATGGATCGTCCGAGATTAACGAAATAAACAAGGCAGGGGCATTCTTTCGAAATCCTTTGAAGTCCGTCCCGACCGCGCCACGTGACCGGGGTCCGTTCGAATTATGAGTCGGCGACGTTGCCGTTTTTCTAGTTTACTTCAACCACAAAAAATGTAACGATTTGCTGAATTCATTTTTTAATTCGTAGTAGTACAAAAGGCACAGTCCATTTTAAGTTTATGTTAACGAACTCTGTGGGTCGGAACCGAAGCCTGTGATAGAAATTATTGTGACGGGAGATGAAACTATGGTTCTCTATTACGACTCTCTATCGAAAAATGAATCAATGGAGTGGCGTCGTAAGGGTAAAGCACTTCCAAAAGAATTTAGAGCCTGGCAGTCAACAAAAAAGGTGATGGCCACGATCTTTTATCTCATTATCACATAAATTGCGAGACTGCGTACATGTAAAACATCGAGGAAAACTGACCAGAGGCGTGCGTCTTTTGCACGATAATGCACCTGTCCATACTGCGGGTGTTGCCCAAGCTGCCATTTCAGAATGTGGGTTCCAACAAATAGATCATCCTCCCTATAGTCCAGATATGGCCCCCAGCGACTATTATTTGTTTGGATATTTGAAAAAGGACTTACGTAGACGGCGGTTTAACGATGAAGTTTAGTTAAAAGAGGCTGTTTTAGCTCGTTTTGCAGACAAACCAAAAGAATACTTTTTAAAGGTATTGAGTTGTTAATAAGGAGATGTAATAAGTGTATCGAAGTTAAGGGGGATATATATATATTTCAATATAATCCCCCTTAACTTCAATACACTTATTACATCTTCTTCTCACTCTCTCACATATGTTGCCGACCTTTGTGCTTAACTTAAAGTAAACGTACAGCCGAAACAGTTTGGTACCTCAAAAAACAAACTGCACCGAGGGCGCGTCTGGTTCTCCGTCGCCGTCGTTTTGTTTATTTTTAGCGGACGACTATTTAAATTGCTTCGGCGTTCGTATCGCCGAGGGCACTGACGGGAACGCCCCCCACCCCACCCCCCTCCCGCGACCGTGCTTTCATTCAATTAAAGGTTGTCTTTACCTAGGAATCGTCTCGATTGTTCCGCCGCTTTTTATATTAATAGCCTGCCGGTTTAAAAAACCGCCGAAAGGAAAACTTAAGCAAACGAGCCGGGATGAAAAGACAATAATTCCGGTCCGCCCCACCTCTACCGACCAACCGCGGAGGGGCGGGGGCAGACGGTCTTCCTCTAACCCGGTTTAAACTCGTCGCCGAATGGGTTTTTCCACGCGAAGTTAATTACGCGAAAGAAGAATTGCGACAGTTATTTTAATAGGGCCGGATATCATTGCCGTCATAAAGGGAGGCGTCCATTTGAAATTTAAATTAATACTGCGCGCCTGTTCGCCAAACTTGCGCGATTTTTAGTGTTTAAACTCTATTTCAGAAAGGTGTAGAGTAATAAAACCTCATTAGGTATGCAAAAGGTGCTACAGAGTGGTCCAACCCAGTGTCATTGTGGGTTACAAATGGATTACCGAATAGAATAAAAATTAAAATATGAATAGAACTGAAAACTCAACAAAAAGTTGAATTTATTCCTCTAGGGGTAGACGTTATGATGTCTATTTATCCCTAAATTACCTCCTATGCAACGATAAGGTCAGAGGAGTTGCGAAGTTACGTCAGTTATATCTTAATTGCTACCATTTTTAGATGCGGATTTCAAAGCTGACAAACAAACTTCCTCTGACTGGACTTTCCTTACACAGGATGTTTCAATTCTCACCATTAAGATCTCGGTAACGGCAAGAGATACAGGGCGACTTAAATTAGGGCAAATTTGCACACCGGTGAGTTATTCTTATTACTTCCGGAAATATGGCGCGAAAATCTGTAAATACATTGAAGATTTGAACTTTGGAGGCTTGATCTTATGACCAGGTAAAAAAACCATCTCAAACCATCATCCATTTTTTCTTATAGTCGCCATATTGAATTTTTGCAGTGAACAAAAACTTACCATAGTAAGCAATGAATTTTCAAATTTTTCGATTAGAGGAAGGACAACAGTGGCAGAAGTGTGTTTTGTGATGGAACGCTTAATATCTTTAATGTGGAAATCATTAGAGAGAAGAGCAGAGGTAAGGTGTGACTCGGGCTGAGATTCTACGTCGAGACTAACCAGAATATCTTGTGTACCTAATGTAATTCTTTTTAATTTTTGAATGAAGTGAAGGGAATTAAGTACGAAGTTATTACTTTTTCCTGTAAAGGGTTTTAAAAAAGAAGCTAGATATTTTGCTATATTGAAGAAACAATGGTGCCGACAAGGGGGTCGAAGTGGTAATCCTGTTTTGTGAATCTTAGGGATTCCGTAGAGACGAGGAATTTTAGACTCACGAGGGGCGACAGACTTTTTCACGGAGTCTGATAGAGAAGAAGCCTTAATAACAGATTGACGGTTGAGTTCTATAGATGACGTAGGATCTTTTTTAAGTTGACGATGTGATCCGCCTGTATGATCGCGAATCTTTTCCTGATATTCATTTAGGTTCATGATAACCGTAGCATTTTCTCTATCTGCTTTTTGGATTAAGATGTCGGGATTAGATTTAAGGTTTGGAGCTCTTCGATATTTTTATATTCACCCTGCCCATAAATTCTATGTACCTCTTATAAATGTGTCAAGGACACTGAGATCTGGAGACCTGGCTCGCCATCTCACTGGTCCATTTCCCCGATCTATCTGTCACTGATAATACGAAAAAAATATACATATTACGACTAAATCGAACTTGCGGTTGAATTTTTCGAAATTGCCTAGATATGCTTATTGTTTCGATTAAATATTCCACCATTTGTAAAAGTGCTTTCATCTGTTCAAATCACATTTTCTAGGAAAGCTGGAAAATCGCCTTTGTAGCCAATTACAAAATTTTAATCGACTTTCGAGATCACCTGGATGTAATTTTCTATCTATAGGGCGAATCATAAAATTCAAGATTTCTCCGAAAATTCGCAAATTGGGTTATAACAATAAAGTCAGAGCCTCATATCGTATAATTAGCGTAAAATCAGAAAGAAACTCGACTTTGTTGAAGAAATTTAAGCGTTTTCAAAGACGGTATCCATGGGTCCCCGACAGTTTCAAATAAAACTGGATTTCGTCAAAAAAATTTTAAATTTACAAGTCAGGTTGTAAAGTAAAAAAGGTGGTTAGAGTAAAGGTTTGAGTTCGTGAGAGTCATTTAAAAAGAGTATATTGAGGGGGAAAATGAGAATAGGCGGCGTCCTCGGGGCAGACTTGTGAGAATTTTGTTTGTCCTGCATTAGTCGTAATTCATTTTTACTGCGCTCTCGGTAGGTGGAGCGTTCGGAAACACGGTCTATTACACGGTGACGCATGTGGCGGTGCTCAATGCATAGGAAACGGTTTATCTTTGCTTAGAGCAGACGACGCTCTATAACCCCGAACTCGAGCTCTGCCCTCTGGCAATAAACACTTCGAAGATAGGGGCCGGCCTAGTTTTATAGACCAAAAAAAAACAACCAAAGTTTATGTAAATTTATTTCGAGATATAGGGTGTTCCAGTTAAAAGGGAAGTTTTAGTATATAATAATATAAATAATAATAATAATAATAATATCTTTATTCATGTTGACAGAATATTTACAAAAACTTTATATCTTTTTATCAAATTTTTATACACATCAGAGCGCAATTGATTTTAATAGTGCTTACTAATTTTTTCTCATTAATAAAATAAATAAAAGAAATAAATAATATGCACAAAATCCTTTATTAAAAGAATAACATATTAGATATTGTTATTATTCTTTATACGTCGGTGCACAGCTTACGTTATTTTGTATATTGTATTAAAATAAATATATTTAA